TTCAATTAGAAGCCAAATCCACAAATTAGATTAGAAGGACAGTTTCAAAAATGAAGGGCTAGTGCCGATAATTCAGATAAAGGTTGATTAAGTGAGAAATCTGCTACAAGTATGAATATGAGATAAGCGAAACCCACAACTGACTTTCTTAGTGTACCACAATAAATGTGCTTCATGATTCATGAAGATAGTGCTTTTCAACTGATTATGCCGTCGACTTACTGCAAGATCTGGGATTTTTGCAGCAAAAGGAGAGCAAGAGAGACCAACAAAGGATGATTTGAAACATAGGAGAAAAAACCTTCAATTATCATTCTCAGGTGTGTCAAGAATACATATAACTTTCTTTTTTGATAAGGTAGGATAAATATACAGTAAGGAATTCTGCAACCTTACATCCCATAATATCAGCCAACTCTTCAATATTGCTATCAGCATCAATACTGAATAGGCTGCTCTTAGAAAGGTTAATTTTCAGGTCTGTGACTGCTTCAAAGGCTAATAAAATCCCCCTATGATGAAGAAATTGTTCCTTCTTTGCCTCACACAATAACAATGTGTCATCAACATCAGAGGCGGATCCAGGATTTGGAGACTATGGGTGCCATATTGTTATGTTCATCAAATTGATCAAATACTAACCTATTTTTGGCCTTGTAAATAGCGACTTGGGACGATAATGTCGGCAATGGATTTCAAGTTAAATTCTAGCAGGATAAACGGCTTGGCAACAAAATGCTTTTAAAGCCTCTGGACTATTCCTGATAGCAAACAACTAAGAGTCATCTGTCAAACAATACAGAGACAATAACTCTTGGACCCCTCTACTCAGAAGGAACCTTTTTGATTGGGAACTCCATGACCTCCTCACTTTGTTATCCACTCTGGAACACCACACAATTGAAATACAGCAACAAGACAAAATGGTATGGAGGGATTCCAAAGAAGGGCAGTTCAGAGTGAAGGACAGCTACAATCTCATGTGCTATCAAAATGATATGCTTGACAAGTGGCCTTGCCTGGGCCTTGGAAGTATGTCTGGCAAATCGAAACACCTTCAAAGGTCTCTTGCTTCATCTGGATTGCTTCAAATGAAATAGATGGACCCAGGACAATCTCAACAGAAGAAACATTGCCTTAGTCAACAGATGCTATCATGCTATAATCAAATGAAGATTAAGAGAAGAATAATAACAACCAAATGACACCATTTCGAAGTTAAATTTTTGGATATAGCTTATTAAAAATAAAATAGGATGGATATTCCTGTAAATTATTTTGTTAATAAAACACAATAGCAGCAGCGGCTTGTCTCCAAGCTATTAAAGATTGACAGTAAACAATGTCTTTTTAGAAAAATCACAAGGAAAAATTAGGGAGCCACCGTAAATGTCAAACTCACTTGTCTTAAGTCTTGGGTTTGACATTGCTGCCCCACCCCCACCCCCACCCCCGAAAAAAAAATCAAGTGTTAAATTAGGTATTAGCTCAATCAGCAAAATTCATTTTTAGGTTCCAGCAAAACAGCTCTAAGGTCCATTGGAGCTTTAAGAGCAAACTGCAAATAAAACGTGGGCTTTAATTAAAAAAGCGCAGAGGGACAAAAAATTCAAATATATTTGTTTAGTCCAAGACTAATAATTATAAACATGTATGACAAATATATGACCAAAGAAATTAATAAAACATTATGATAAAGTTAAATATCAATTGTTTAGTGTCACTTTTTCAGAAGAGGCTCATTGGCAAGGAAATTTTTTGCCTTAGAACCTTAATGATGACACTAAAGCGCACATAAAGCGAGGATAGGCGCTCAACACGTTTTGAGCCTCACTTCAGGGCTTAAGTGCGCTTAAAACGCGACTTTGACAACACTGCAAATATCCAAAGCATAGTTTATGTTTTATTACTTAGAGAGGAAGCAATCTCGTTCATGTGGTTTTGAAGCTAAACACAGTCAATTGAAGCATCAATACCAGAATACAGAACTGGCGGAAAATGCAGTAAGTTAACCTATATGTTTAAAGATAAAGGCATGGCTACAGGATGGTAAAATGACAGATAGAAGGCACAAAGACCGCAACGTTTTAAAACTTCTAGAAGGTGTTCTGCTAAAATGTGTTTATCAAGCTGCTCAACAAAATATTTGGCACGGATAGGTGGTCCAAGTAGTATAATATGGCCGTTGGCTGAGCAGTAATATTATATTTCTTGGAAAGAACATTTCCCATCGGGAAATAGGGCAGAACATTTCAGTATTAGATCCTGAACTTCAACTTTTAATCTCTAGAAGAATATCAGTGACCTATTCTATAATGCATTAGGCTGATGCTCAGCAAAAGTTATATCCCACACTTATATACCACCACATATTCCAAACTATAGTAATGGAGCAAACATGTCTTATTGTGTGTTGGAAACAGGAAATGAAAACAATCTATTTTTTGTTTTAGGAAATAGTTGTGTTGTTTTCTAATCCAACAGTGAACAGTTTACTATCAGCACCATAAATGTCCACTTGAAAGAGTTATAGAACTTCAATTAGAAGCCAAATCCACAAATTAGATTAGAAGGACAGTTTCAAAAATGAAGGGCTAGTGCCGATAATTCAGATAAAGGTTGATTAAGTGAGAAATCTGCTACAAGTATGAATATGAGATAAGCGAAACCCACAACTGACTTTCTTAGTGTACCACAATAAATGTGCTTCATGATTCATGAAGATAGTGCTTTTCAACTGATTATGCCGTCGACTTACTGCAAGATCTGGGATTTTTGCAGCAAAAGGAGAGCAAGAGAGACCAACAAAGGATGATTTGAAACATAGGAGAAAAAACCTTCAATTATCATTCTCAGGTGTGTCAAGAATACATATAACTTTCTTTTTTGATAAGGTAGGATAAATATACAGTAAGGAATTCTGCAACCTTACATCCCATAATATCAGCCAACTCTTCAATATTGCTATCAGCATCAATACTGAATAGGCTGCTCTTAGAAAGGTTAATTTTCAGGTCTGTGACTGCTTCAAAGGCTAATAAAATCCCCCTATGATGAAGAAATTGTTCCTTCTTTGCCTCACACAATAACAATGTGTCATCAACATCAGAGGCGGATCCAGGATTTGGAGACTATGGGTGCCATATTGTTATGTTCATCAAATTGATCAAATACTAACCTATTTTTGGCCTTGTAAATAGCGACTTGGGACAAATTTGTTCAGTTATTCATCCTTTCAGTTTATGACGATAAATAAATCCAACAAAAAAAACTATGATAATTTGTACAAATTAAAAATATTTTTCCCAATAATATTAGTATAATATAAAATAAATAAATAAATATATCATTCATTTATAATTGCACTCGGCAAGTTTTCTTATTCTAAAAACACTTACTGATGATATAATTATTTATATTTATAAATACTTCACGTTCTAGGTAACAAACTAAATATAAAAAGGTCGAAGAATTTCACATACATAATTTCAATAACAGAGACGAAGTATTGGTTCACACCAACTGACAATCTAAAAAGGCCAAACAAAAATCAAATGTGATTTCGGTATGATTTTTATGTTATCATTTATTATAACATGTATTTTATTTATAAATTAAAACCTAAAGATTTAAATTATCATAATCCAAATTATTTTTTCATATGCATCCAAATGATTTAAATAATAAAACAAAGAGTAAGAGAAACTCATTATCGAGTTTCTGAAATTTGAACGAAATAGAGGAGCTAGAAAGAATTAGTTGAAAGAAGGAAAATACTACTCCCCCATCCTAATTATAACCTTCGAAATTTATCGTCTAAAATAAATTTTAAATATTTGTGTGACTATAAATTATTTCATTAAGGTAAAAATAACAATTTAAAGCTAAATTATTTTTAATAATAAAAAGATAACATTTTTGGGAATAGACTAAAAAGAAAGCGTATCACATAAATTTCAAACAAAGAAAGTACTTAATATTTTATGCTTAAAATAGAAAGGAAGAAAAAAATCACTAAAAATTACAACAAAAAAATTGTTGGCAAAAATCAAGTTTATTACTTTTACAACTTGATACCAGTTGATAGAGCCTTTTTGGCAAAAGAAACGGAAAATGGAGCATAAAATTTTACATAAAACTGTGCAATTCTAGGATCGAACCCGCAACAATGAAGCCGAAAACTTGACCTCTCACCACTGGCACCATGCACATACTTGTTACTGGGGGTGGCAAATTTAATATATATCGTATATATCATATATATACACATATACATACGAAGCTTCAACCGAGTTCACTGGGTGCCGTGGCACCCCCTCCCTTACACATAGGTCCGCCCCTGATCAACATATAAATAACGACAGACAACCACCTTTTTGTCACCATTTCCTTCAATCTTAAAACCACTGATCCACCCCAATCTTTTTTCTCTTTTGAGCATCTTACTTAGAATTTTGATAACCATAACAAATAAATATAGAGATAAAGGATCTCCTTTCCCCAATCCCTTTTGTGATTTGACGAATCCTTCTGAATTCCTATTTATCAATACTGAGAAGCTAACTGTAGAAATGCAAGTAGTGATCCACCTGATCTACTTGTCCCCAAAGTTCTTCCCTTAATAAATGCATTTTGATTTCTAGATCAGTTTGTTGATTACCTTTAAGCTTTCAGTCAATAGCTTATCAATGATTTTACAAACATTGAGTAGGCTAATAGACCTTAATTTCAACAACCCCTTTCTTTAATTCCATATAACATGCATAATATGCCGACTCAAATTTAGTCTTGAGCAGGTATTGGATTTGTCATCCCAGATTCCCCCACCCCATCCCCTCTTTTCTAAGAAATAAAAAGCAAGGGATGAACCTCAACATAGCCCAGAAGCACATGCACAGATATGCTTTAGAAAGGAATATACAAACTTCATAGCATAAATTCATCATTTACCCCAGTTTCACATAGACAAGTATATGGAAAAGGAAACAGTGAAAACCTACCAACTTTCAAGACTGATAAACATCAGGAAGGCGGAGACCCACACTTGCAGCAGATTTACCCAGCACTTTCTTCATCTCATTGGATCTATCCACTGCAATGTTGTAAGAAAATAATAGGTCCTGCATAAACAAAGAAAGCCACTGGATTTGTAAACAGCAATAGTAATATCCCCAGGGGCGAGGGTGTTCACCCGAACTCCCTCGGCAAAACATTACAATGTATATACAAGGTGTTTTTTTAATTTTTTAGTGTATATATACAGATTTTGAATCCCCTAAACACAAGACTATAGGTTGAGTCTGTGGTTTAGATGGTTTAAAATTTACTTTGAGGTTCCAAGTTCAAATTCAAAGCACTAATATGTTTAATTTTCAAACCCCCTTAGTGAAAATCTGTGATCCGCCACTGAATATCCCTATGACTCCCTTTAATTCGTTTCAACTTTATGGTCAACTAATAGTTAACAAAGGACAAAACCAAAATATATACATAAGCTCGATTAAAAAACCCCAACTTCAGTGATGTGAATGAATATGCAGCATTAATCAGAAAACAGAATTCATTTCAAATTCAAAGTCAAAATGTTTGGTACATGACAAGTGTTAGGATTTTGCCCATGACTAATCTAGAAAGGAATATGAAAAAAAAATCTGCATTTTTGAGGCATAGAAAACTCTATCCGTGTTGATAAGATATTGACGTTGTGAGACAGTTGTCTTAAAAAATGACCCAACTGGATTACAACGTCTTATAATCAAACTTAAGCAAGAAAGCCCTCTTTTTGAAAAAAGAAGAAAAACATAATGAAATATTTTTCTTGGCCCTCCTATTTTTTATCACTTAAAACAGTAAAGACCTCTACATTATGATCCAATTAGGGATTGTTTACCTACTACTAAACTTATCATGTAATCCCCCTATATTATACAAAGTTTCACAAATAGTAATACCATTACTTTTCAGTTGATCCTTTTACTGTAAACAAAAAAATATTGTATACTCTGCTGATATATTGACGGAGTTGACCCTATTGATATTTTTCTGATGGTATCAATATGATGCCACAATATCAAACTCATGAGCACTTCCTTAACAACACTTACCTCGATAAAGAGTTCACATCACATCACATCACCTTCATATAAGCAGCTTTTCATTGTCATGGGATAACATAGTTAGCAATGAAATGTTATGATACATTCTTTACCCATATAAAGCGTAGACATGTAAACAATTCAATCCTACACCCTTGCTTCACACAGTTTAGGATAATTATAACCTGATGTACATTCTAAACAAAAAGTGGCTAGTACAACGCAAAAACCGCAACAACATACCCAGTGTAATCCCACAAGTGGGGTCTGAGGAGGGTAGAGTGTACGCAGACCTTACCCCTACCTCAAGGCCAGCTCAAGTGCAGCAAATCAAAGTATTTACAACGCAAAAAACACAGTGCAATGAAAATTGTAAATAACTAGAGAAGTGAAACTAACCTTATGATGGTGGACACTGTTGAGAAGGTAAGTGTAATTTTGAGCAAGGTTAATTCTTTGTTGGATAAAAGAAGAGTCTTTTGGGTATTCAAGATTTCTGTTCTTCCTGAACTCTTCCCTTATGAAGTCAGTGAAATGAACCTTGTGTTCTTCCTTCCCTATATGCTTTTCCACTGCTTTTAGTAGATTTCTATACACCATTCTTATACCTTCAAAAGAACCCATTTCTGCAAAATCCCCAAATAACTATCTGACCTTAGAAATTTGACCACTACTCTAAAAAATAATAATACAAACATTGGGATATAGAATATTGGGCCAAAAAAGGAAGAAAAGATCGAATTTTTTGGATAAATTTCGAAGATTTTTAGCACAAAAGGGTTTAGAAGATTGTTAGCCTCATTTTTGATAAAAATGCTAATTCAAATCGAATTCGAAGAGAAAACTTACATTTGACTCGTTGGATGTTTTGCCTCAAGGAGCAGTTGGAATAGTATTGGCGAAGCCCAAAATTAAAAAGGACAGTAAAAATAGATTCAAATTAAAAATTTAACCAAATGGATTAAAATAAATTAATTTTATTTGAGTTTAGTTTGTTTTAAGTGTACATTTTTAAAAATTCATAATATTTGGTTTGACTTTCTGCATCTGATCAATCTTAGAGAAACAACTGGCTCCTGAAGTTGGTCGAACAAGTCATTAATTATGGGAAGGGGATAATTATTCTTAATGGTGACTTTATTCAACTGGCAATGGTCGATACACATTTGGAGAGAACCATATATTCTTACGTGCAAAAAGGACTAGGGCATCCCATGGGGAACCATATTTCAACTCTTTTAACTCGGCTGGAGTAGGGGCAGAGCTAACATACTATTAGGGGGTTTATCTGAACCCCCTTCAGCGGAAAATATTACTATTTATAGTAAATGTTGAACCCTCTTCTATTAGTTGTCTGTTTACTTCTTCAGATTTTGAACCCCTAATTAAAAATCCTAGCTCTGCCACTGGGCTGGAGGCCTGGAGCCATCTCTACGTATTAGAAAGAGTGTCTATCTCAAAGTCTATCTCCCTGTCAGAAGGGGTACACTGGAAAGATCATCGAAAAAGACTTTAGGAAACTCACATACTCCAGGAACTGACGGAAGGGACGGGCTTTCAAGATTAGAATCCTTAACCCAAGCTAGATGGTCGCGATAACCCGTAGAGATCATCCTTTCGGCCTTTAAGATATGAAATGAAAAGACCCTTAAGCACGGTAGAACTATCCTTCCACTCTAAGACTGACTCGTTAGGAAAATGAAACTTTACAACGCTAGTTCTGTAGTCAACTAAGGCATAGCAAGAATGTAACTAGTCCATGCCTATAATAATATCGAAGTCTACCATATTTTACTCTACCAGATCAGATGTGGTATCTTTACGAAGGACTGAAATAGTGCAAATCTTGTATATTTGTAGAGCCATAACTGACTCTCCAATGGGAGTAGAAACAAAAAAGGGTTCTAAGAGTTGCTTAGGACTGAAACCAAACTTTACAGCTCCTTGTCTTTTAGAGGGGCAATTCTTAAGTATATGACCTACCTAACCATACTTGTAGAACCCATCCTTACCATAAACTCATTCACTGGGATGATTCTTTCCACACTTACTGCATCCCGAGTAAGGAGTATATCCATAGGCAACACTAACCTGTGAGAGCCAAACTCCCTCCCCCTCTGATCATTCCAAGGTTTGGGTGCAAGTGAACTAACTAAAGACGGAGCTGATCGAGATGACCTCCACTGAAAAGATGATTGATTCCCATTTTCAGTCTTCTGTTGGCTGGACGCATGGATTGATGTTTTGGCCCTCTTATTTCAAAACTATTCCCTATCCTTCAACTTATCCTCCTCAACCTACTACACATGGATCATTAGTCTGGCTATATCCATATCTGAAATCAACATCATTGTCTTATCTCCCTTGCTCGAAAGTTACAAGAATCTCGATACAAACAAGCTCATCGTGCTCCTCATTTCAACTACCATCTTCGGAGCATAGAGTGACAATTAAGTGAACTTAAGGCTATACTCTTGTACACTTATAGAATCCTACTTCAGGTTGAGGAACTCTCTTACCTTTGCCTCCCTTAACTCTAGAGGAAAGAAACGCCCCATGAAGGTATCTTCAAACACTCTCCAACATAGGAGTGGTGCATTCTCACCCTTATTCTTCTTCCGCTGATCATACCATATCCTTGCAACATCCTTAAGCTGCTACGAAACCAACTCAACACTCTCTGCATCACCAACATGCATCATCTGGAATATCTTTAGAATCTCATCACCAAAACTATATGGATCCTCATTCAACTTTGACCTTGTGAACTAAATAGATTCATCCTAAAAAATTCATGAATCCTGGAAGTGTCAGGAACACCCGAGGAGCCCGCAGGGGCTGCTTCTTGACGGTCAACATGAGTTATCATAGCCTGAGCCAACATATGGATGGCGTTGCGAAACTCAACATTAGTAACATCAGCCTGAGGTGGCTGCACAACAGGTGCATTTGGACCTCTTGGTCCAACGGGAACTTGCAGTACCTGAGGGTTTTCATCCTTCCTAGCGGGACGTCCTCTGCTTCTGGTTTGCATCGTACGACCAATGGCTCTTTGTAGATGCATGATCTGAAAATACACACAAGAACAAATTAGAAGAGGTAAATAGAGTTAAGGTTTATCACGCAAACAAGAATATGAAAAAAGGGAAATATTTCCTAAACATCCTGTTGTCTCCTCTTTATTAGTGTAGCTCGCTTCACACTCATAAAAATGGCTCTGCTAGATGCGAATTTTCAAACATCCCAGGACACTTTAACCTAGGACTCTGATATCAAGTTTTTCATGACCAGGTCTACTCCCAAGCGGAGACACTGTACATAGAACCACAAGTGATCCCAACCCGGCATAGCATATCTTGGAAAGTCATGTGAAAACTGAAGCGGAGGCTGAAACATATTTAAATGAATAACTAGTTCAACATCAATCTAAATAAGGAAATAGAAGGCATAGCAACCATTCACGAGGGAAGAAAAGCAATTGATCAGGAAGGAGGGATTCCTGTTCTTGTTGAGGTTGTTGAGCTTGGTTCTGCAAGAGGTAAGGAGAATGCAGCAGCCACTTTGTTGCAATTATGCACTAACAATAGTAGGTTCTGCAACATGGTTCTCCAGGAAGGAGTTGTACTGCCGTTAGTGGCATTGTCACAGTCTGGCACACTAAAAGAGCCAGATAAAAGGTAGGATGAGTTTGCAGAAACCTCACAGATTCCTTTCTATTCTGACTCAATTATTCTAACAGCACACATATGCAGGCTCGTGTACTTCTTAGCTATTTCAGAAACCAATGGCATGGTAATACAAGGAGGGGATGATTTATACACTGGACAGTGAAAACATATTTTTCTCAAGGTAACTGATTAAATGATGCATGCAAATTTGATATTCAGAGTTATTTATGTAGAGGATTCAACTTATTGAAATATTGTAATATTTGTGAGCTGAGATAGAAGAACGATTTTACCGAGGCTTTCATGGGTCCATCCCCCGATAACATTGTAAGTGAATGTGACAAGCTTATTATACATGTAACAAGTGTCTAATTGCATCACTTATAAACGTTGTATGTGAATGGAGGTGGGATTGGATGAGATATTTTATTTAGAATCGAAAGAGTTTAGTAGTGATATATTTTGATTGCTGAAACAAATAGCCAAATGAACTTTCCTCTAATCATTAGTTCCAAAAGAAAAATAAAATTGTGTTTACACTGTTAACACACTTGCTGCAAATTTTCAGAAAAATCCAAATTGTGAACCACTATTTTTTTTTTGGGGATGAAGAAAGTATTATTTTGTGTTTTGATGGCTTGTCATGTGTTTGGACTAGAAAAGCAGTAAATTTGACATTTTGTGAACTTGGAATTTTTGTTGATGATGTGATATGAAGATAATAGCAGACCTTGCTTGACTTTTTCACTTTCCTTCTTCTTTTGATAATAAAATTCATAATTAACTTATTCCAATATGAAAATTCGAAGTGAAAGGAATTTGAGTGTTAAGTAACTTCCATTGAAATTTTTACAATATTAATACTTTTAGGTGCAAGAAAAAGGACATTTGGAGGTACACTCCATCAAAAGCTTGGTGTTTTCGCCTTTAATACATCTCACGCGGCCAAAAACTAGATTAATCAGCAGTCTAATGTGTGGACATAAAAAGCAAATGAAAAATAAAAAAAGGACTCGTACAAGGACTTGGAAATTTCCAAACGACCTAAGAATTGGTACTTTTCTAAGAAGATTATCAGAAAAATAAAAGAAATCTAAAGCAAGGAAGTTCACATAATTTGCTTATACAGTTTTAAGGTAGTGTTAGAGGTGAACAATATTGACACGGATTTTAATTCTTTTGTTCAAACTTGCTGGTCATCAAAGTAAAATTACATAAGACATAATGATATACCCTTCAAACAAAGGTCTCTTCATTGCCCGATTCTGCTATCTTTAACGTCTCCAAGGAAGAGTTTGATTTCATCAAGTATAAACCAAAGAGAAGGATCTTCTCCATCCCATCCCCATTCCTCGTTGGATGATTCTTTACCTGGAGTTGCTAATAATATGCCTGGTCTGGATGTTGAAAAGATATCGATTAAGAGTTCTGAAGAACGAATGGGCAACTCTGGAGAGACAAACTCACACTCGCTTATAGGTCATAATCGAACCACCTCGGCATCCAGCACACTATCTAATTCAAACTTTTCACCAACAATTCCTGGCAACGGAAATATAGTATTCTCAAGGTCAGCAGATGATGTATCAGAATCCCAACCTGCTGCTCCATTATCTGTTCTACGAAAGGAGATGAAATTCCAATCCATGCTGGAGACAAGAGTTCAAAATCAATCCATCTTGCATAGACCTTTTCAGAGGTTTCCTATAATAGTTTCTTCTGCTGTTGTTGAAAGAAAGGCTGATCCTTTGGAACTTGAGGAGCAAGTTAGGAAGCTGATTCAGGATTTGAATAGCAATTCCATTGATGTGGAAAGAGATGTGACAGCTGAACTCCGGTTACTTGCCAAGCACAATATGGATAATCGTGTTGTAATAGCAAACTGTGGTTCCATCAACTTGTTGGTCAACTTACTTCATTCAGAAGACATGAAAGTACAGGAAAATGCTGTAACCACACTTCTCAACTTATCAATTAATGACTACCGCAGGTGTTCAATTGGAAATGCTAATGCAATTGAACCTCTGATTCAAGTCCTCCACACGGGGAGTGGTGAGGCTAAAGAAAACTCTGCTGCTACACTTTTTAGCCTTTCATCCATTGAGGATTGCAAGATGAAGATAGGGAGGGCTGGAGCATTCAAACCTCTTGTGGATTTATTGGAAAATGAAACTC